GGTAGTTGTGATTACTTGCCTAAAGAATAGGGCACAAAAATTTACCAGAAGCTTCGGGAATAATAAATGATCAATTAACGAGTCTATACTTTGTTGAGATGTTTGGCCGTTGGTAGTGTGCGTTTTGGAAAGTGTCATATACGAGATGGTTCGTTTGCCTTGGCTCCTAAAGCTGAGATTCGTCTTCGTGAATATGGAGACAGACAAAGCCGCCAGCTGCTGGGGCGAAACTCAGTTTGAACTCGGGCCTAAGTGACAGGGAGTTCATTTGTGTTGAGTGCATTTCACGTCGTATGAGCGCGATCGGCAGGCCTTTTATGGCTGAACAGGCGAAGCATTGTTCGTGTTCTTTCCTTCTGTTCATGTTCAGCCTGAGGCTAGTAATAGTACGCATTGTAGCGGACAATATTCTAATAAAGCGATCTGACGACTTTGTCTAGAGCTGCCGGGATTCTCGGTAGACTTCTAAACGAGATATCTGAGCTGCATGTACAGACCATTCCTGTGCACATATGCTTCTGCTGATTTGGTTCCACTCGGAAATTCAAAACAAGAAGGGATATTTCTTGTTGTTGTCCGGCGTAATCAAGCTTCTGAGAACGCTTACTGTGTTGCTTGAAGTAGACTAAGAGGGCATTCATGCAAAAAACTTACTACACTGACTTCGCTGTATTCTTTCCTTAAAGATAAATCATCTTCGAAATTGATAACGCATCAGTGCTGCACTCCACGGAGTCTTGTTGTGTAACCCCTCAATTTATTCGAACCCCCACGGAATGCACGTGTGCACATTTATTGGCTCAAACAAAAAAGGGTGTTTCGTAGAGAGTCTCTGTTTCACCAAGAACAATCTTTTAGAGGAAAAGAGAAATGGAAAGGGCAAACGTAACGAAACCGGCCTAAATGTTTTTTCGCCGCAGCTAAAATACATTCATTGAATGTCCAAAGTATATGACCAGAGGGTCTTCTATCCGAAAAACTGCAGCCCATTTTGTCCATTGTAATGAAACCGCAAGGATAAATTAGTATCTGGATGCAAGTGGCCTGATTACTTCAACAGCCAAAAGCAACCATTTGTCTTGTGCTCACAAGAAAAACTACAGCCGACACTTGAGTTCAAACCGAAAGTAATCTATCTTTATCTCAGTCACTACGTTTACTCTTACCGTCTTCTTGTTGATTTTGCGACGCATTCGGCTATTTATGATTCGTTGGTTTCACGTTTTGAGTCAACCAGCACAAATCGCCGTCTAGGCTTTTAAACTTTTCAGCTGTGTGCACTTAACCAAATTGAAACTGTGCTGCATTTTTAGTCCAGGGTAACCAGATGTTAATGCTATGAAACCCTTTTGAGATCTGTCACCCAAAAAGACCCTAATCACGCGGTCCTGTTCGCTCTTCCCATATTTTTGTAAGTATATTACTTAGACTTAAATCAGAGAGCGATTGGACTATTCATCAACGCTTTGCCCAGCGGTGATTACCTATTTCATTGACCGTTGAGGACAAAATTTACATCCAAAAGGAGATGAGCAGAACGCTATGAGGAGAAAAGCAGATAATAATAAAGGGTGAAGCGTACCAAATATACCAGTATGGTTTTATCTCTGTTCTTCCGAGTAGGTACATTCGTGGTGATTGAGTGGTCATTTCGAAAATCAGGCTATGGTTTTCGAGGGACAGCACAAATTGGCCTTCGATTCCCAGCCTAATAATATACACGGTGCTGCACAACATGCATTCATTTGCACACTAATTTGGTTTAAACGGTTTATTCAACTGAATCCCAGCTGGATCTCCAGTTTATGATATTCCTGGACTAAATATGTCACGCAAAGGCTGCCTCATGTTTCCAATGATACTGCGTTCGAGATATTGCAGTATATTTCTCTGAAAGAAACTGCTCTTAAGGGTGGATGCGAACGTTTTTAAATAGCCTTATGGGATAGACTATTTCATTGAAAGTGCTGGGTTGGTTGGCACAAACAGTAACCCATCACTACGCTTCAATACGCTTCCCAACAACGCACTGATGATGTCACTCGATCGGTGACAAATCATTTATAATCAGATTCCATAAATCAGCGAACAAACCGAATCACTTCTACGCTACTTGGGATACCAACATTCTTCCCAAGGGCAAATCTTACGAGTACTTTTCTTCTATAAAATATGAAGACTTTTTTCGAAACTAGCTAAATAAAGCAATTAGAGTTCTTTAAAAAATGTCTCCCTTATTAGCAAGTCTTGTGAGTTGACGATGTCTTGATTCACACTTGTGGTGTAATTCTAGGAACTTGTTGATTGGTCAGTGCAGAATCAACATATTCTGGTAACTTTTTGCGGCAAAGATATAAGCTGTAGTCTAATGATGATCGTATCATGATAAAGGCGAGTGTACGTTGGGAAGTGGCTTCAAGACAAATCAGTGCCGGAAGACAAAACAGGATCCTACTTTGGCCTTTTCTAAGTGTGCGAAATTTAATGGTGCTCTTCCGGTTATAGCTCAGGAAAATGAGTGCTCAGAATTCCATCCAGTCAAGCGATGCCCAGGTTTGAGGTTTTCTTTGAATTTATTTTCCTCCTTTCACCAGTTGTTGTATGCAGATCAATACAGACAAATGAAATGTTGCCTTAGAGTGGATTATTCTTTCCGGTATCCAGTTTAGTAGTTTCCCCTGATACGAAACGTTGTAAAACAAAACTAAAACTCATACTCTGAAGGACTCAGAAATTCCGGGAAGAACTGTCATCATAGAATAACTCACCGTGAGTTCCGAGTTAAGCATCTTTCAAACTTTTGTGTAGAGCAAGTGTAAACAGACAAACAGACAGCACATATGGCAAGAGGACGAAAAAGTTTAAGTTGAACGTGAACGTTGGAACGGACATGTATGGGGGAGGGGGAACAAGAAGGCATCAGCATGTATAAAAAGCCACTAATGCCCATATATGTGGGCGGCGAACTTAAGGCAAACGGGTTTAACTATTCAGCATTTGCAAGAATTCACACGGGAAACGCAGGGTAGAAATTTAGAATTCAGTCAAATGTGGGACTACGGAGATTTCACGAGAGGATCTTGTGTACACAATATGTCATTTCTGCTTAATAGGCGTTTAAAAAGTAGGTTTCGCTATTCGCTGTGTAGAAGATGGAAAGGATCGTAGAAGATCTTGTCTCAAAAGTTTGTGCAGCGATTCCTCTGCCAAAATATCAAGTTTTTTTCGTGAGAAAATGATAGGCGTAAATCGAAGGTTGAAAAATTTTGTTGAAAAACTTTTTATGATGATCAAATTAACTTATACCATTTTATGAAAACCGAGTAAACAGTGTAGTAGTATGGGTGCTACAACGCAAGAAAGGATTATTCGTTTATGGACAAAATCGTAGGAAAATCAACCGTCTAAGAAGAAAGTCGTAAGCTTTTTAGAAGTATATTTCTCACGTAAGTGGATCAAGAAAATCCACAGGTTAACCTAACTCAGAGGTAGTTTGTACATTGGTTTGCCGATCGGGGTAGTTTTTGATGCCTTTTAAGGAGCGTAGGGTTGGTGAATCACGTTGAAGTACACTTGATTGGATTTAAACTGGGGAGCTGCCTTACCTCAGGGATATTCTGTTGAAATAATGGCTAGAATATAGACGCGGTGACCTCATCAACATAGTACGACAACGAACTTGCCAAGATATACGGAGTCTGTATAGACTTTGAGATGTTGGCAGGGCGGCCGTCTCAGACAGGTCAAACCCATTTGCCAACCTAACTGAGCATTGGCCACCTACCCATGCACACGATTCGCACTCACTGAAACACTAACGTATCGATGGGGAGAAAAACGATGTCAACAAGCCACATGAGGAGTAAAATCTGGTTAAATGGAACAAAAGCACTGTAAAAGTCTATGGATTGGGTGAGATCACATTTATTTTGACCATCCAAAGTACTCAAAATCGCGTTTGTGGTTGACTTTTCTCGTTTGTTAACAAACTGAGGGGGCTGACTAATGTTTTCGTTAAGCCAGCCATCGTTCAGTATTTTAGACAGGATTAACATTTGTTAAAGCCGCAAGTGGGGAATACATTTTGCATCTATGTAATTCTGTAGGTCTCTTATACACTGACCGTGTGTGACTCTTCAAGGGCACATTTAAGTGGATCGTAAAAATGAAGCGCATATCACGACAAGTAAGAAAAACACGCTACCTGAGTTTATTCTCAGAAAGAATTTCCTGTTCGCTGTGTATGACATCGACTGGAACGAATGAAAACTTCAAATTCCAAAGGAGTAAGTACTCGTTTTGGCAGTAGACGACTGATTTAACCGATTCTCATCACCTCAGAAACATTTATTCGGCATTTTTTATCCAAGGGGGTGGCAATAACCTTTCATATGTATGTAGCCTAAAAGTACAAGATCAGATCTACACAGGCGTTCTTTCATAGAAGTGTTTGCCTTGAAAAAAGTAGAACAGTGCTCCTGCTGTTTTTGACTAATTCCAGAACTTGTATGATCTCTGGTTACGACGAGGGCGTCTCTTGAGCGCAAACAGTGTGAAAAGTTCTTGTTCAGGGTGTTCGGTGTGTGGAACACTGACCGGGCATCAGCAAAGGTTCCTCATGTCTACAGACGTACATAAATGGATCCTTGACCGATACGAAACTGAAACTAAACTAACCTCGAAATGTGAAGTTCATACCGCTTGGTGGAACAGGCTTGCTGGAGGATTAAAATAACGTCGGTATGAGCTAAGGAGATACACAGAAGACCAATAGTTTGATGACATCAACAAAGTTTTTAAAGTGTTGCTCGTAGCCGCTCAGGAAACATGAAAACTGCGCTCCAAGTACGTGCATTTAGTGAACGAGGTATGCCTACACTGGACAGACAAAGTGTGTGTGGGCTTGGATGTATGGAGGTCCCGAAGGACAAGACCTGCCCGGATGTCATGATGTCAGACTGCAACCATTGATCAAATACCACAAGGTCAACACTAGCCAGCTAATTATCAAAACTGGATTCTAAGGGTGACACGATGTGATCCACGGCTTGTTGGAACCGGGCTCTATAGTCCTTGGAATCTGACGAATGTGAGGCTGTTTGATCGATGGTTTTGTCAAAGCCACTAGATGAAGATTCGCCCAAGGCGTGCTTGCCAGTTAAGCATACTGGTGGCTGACTGAGCGCAGAATATTGCTCCAGTCTCACCAACAGCGCTGTTTGCGAGCCACAAGACGGATATAACTTGTCAGCCAGACGCAAGAGTGGCTGTAAACTTTGGTGGGCACCGGAATCCTTTCCTCGGCTAAGCTTATCTGCATTACGGGGGTGGTGTTGGCTCAGTCTGAAATAGGTGGGGGCACTCAGCTCAGACAAACTGGGCCACTAAGTTCGTACCTACACTTTCGTAAACGTGAACTCCATGATGGGATATCTTGCCAGCTTTCATTTTGTAGCACTTTGCACAGTTTTTCACCATCAAGATTAATAATCGCTTTGAAGGCAAACAGGCCGGTTGGCCCCGTCTGGTATTCCTGAACTTTGAGCTCATCCAGGCTAACTTCTAGGCTAGCCAGTCGGGACCAACGTCGGTATATCCCAAACGAAGAGGAGCCTGGTGTCAGCGATAACGATTTGATGTTCCTGAACTTGGACTATAAGTAACTGAAATGTGTGGCCGTCTTGAATAGAGAGTTTCATTTGGCCACCCGCATTCTGCATTATTCAACCTTTTGTGGCGCGAAAGTATGAAATTCACTTATTTGAAGGAGACGAGACAGCAGTCGGCCAAACTGTTTACTGTAAGTTTGGTCTGTGGTTCTTTTGAGGGACTGCTCTGGATGTTGATGCACCCAAAAACAACAGATGGATTGACCTGAGCACCTAAATGCTATTTTGAGTAAGTGAACCACTCGCTTTTTTGCCTCACTGGTGGGCCAGCAGGGAATCCTACGTGCTTTTCTGAGCTGACTGCTGGAAGTGTGTGCACAAAGTGAGATCATCTTTTCTGGGTAAGAGGCTTTTCATGCCTGTAGTTTGAACTTTTCGTTTCGCCTGCGCAAACGGTGGTCTGTTCACGCCAGAATCGGCACACTGCGAAGAAGTAGACAAAAAAATCTTGTAACATTCTGACCCGTTGAATCAAGGCCCGTTCAAAAACTGAAGATGACGACGTACTTCAAGTTCTTGACAGATTTTTATCGGTCAAATTTCCCATTCTGGTCCCTGAATGATTCCTTTTAGATCCAGTGTACGCAGATATCATAGTTTGTTCTGGCAACATTCAGTTCAAAAGGTATCTAAAACATGCCTGAGAAACAAGGGCGAAGTTGGTCAGAATCTGATCAGTTCGTTAAGCGACCAGATGCTAAATTCGCCGTGACTTGTGAGAATCTATGGAAGCGAAGGGTCTCAGTGTAGATCATGGTTCGCATTATTCAGCCAAAATGGTTCTCTGGATGGCAGAATTTGCGACCGTCCAGCAGAAGACGATCAAGGTGTGCTCAAGGCCTCAGAAGTGTAGAGGTCAAAACAATGTGCGATCCATCATTAACTCAGTTCAATGTTCTGTGGTAGCCTACGTGTTTTTAAAGGAAAATTTTAGAGTAGAACCAGCCGATATGTCTAAGAGGATGAAACTGGTAGTGAGTCATCAACAAGTTTTTGTGACTTTACCAGTGCGATATGTCCCGTATACATAAAAGAATTGGTAAGTCGAAGTGAAAACAGAACGTATGTGAGACGATAAATTCCCTACCTTGTTAGCGATTGTGTATTGGAACTAGATATGGGTTGCTCCATGTTCTGCCTATGGACTGCCTATGGAGAGAATGTGGTCAATCATTGAAAAAGAAGCCCCAGTTTTTGTAGAGAATGGTGGGGAGTATAAGACGGTCTAGCTAGAACTTTGATTTCTGGAACGTTTCATCCAAAAAGAGGGTAACAAACAAGGGCAAGGGCTGATTTTGGTGACCTATGCGTCGCTGAAGGCAAAACCAGAGAAATAAAATCAAAGAGGCGATTTGTGGGCTTCGTTGGACAGTATAAAAATGGCACTCAGGTTGAATACGCCACAAATGAAGATGCCGGAAAACCCTTAGACTCAATTCATTTGGCGTAACCAATGTCGGATGACTATGCACGTTGTACGTTATTGGTAGTAAGCTAACCGGGTGAAGATACTGAGGGAGGTTTTAGTGGGTCTTGTTCAAAAATCCAGCTGTCTTTTACTCACGGTTGCGTAATGTGGCTCAAGTAATGACGCTGCTATCTCATAAAATGAACACTGAGACTCCGGGTATGAACAACTCACTGAAATACTGCATTAGGAGTTTATAAACTCAAGCCGGGTTCAAGAGAAATTTGTGAATATCGGTGACGATTTATACACGAAAGAATAAAAATGTTGAAAGGCAACGTCCACATCAATAAAGTTGTCTAAACATTTTCGGATTGATTCCCTTAAAACTAGGAATTTACCCCTTTTATGGTTAATTATGGACCTTTCGTGTTGCGAATTTGTGTAATGAAGAACGCAGATCCATTGCATACACTTGGAAAGTTCAGTGTACACTTAGTCGTATAATCGTGAATAAGAGGTTCTCTATGATTGGTTTGGGTGACAGTTTGTTCGTCGTGCAAGCCATACTTTGCAATTCAAACTGCTTAGCAAGCAAAGTGAAACGCGATCCACATCATACCTCAACGGATCAGATGAGTTCGTGTGACGTTTTCCAAACCCAACTTCAAACCGAATTTTTAAATCAAAACATTTCAACTCTGCGCTAGAGTTTATCATTTCCTTTCCATCGCACAAGATGGGTTTTGAGTGAGGCAGCAGTAGGTCGTCAGCTAAATCACAACCAAAAACATCCTGTTGTTTGTCTGCTTATCAGATTTTAGGTTAAAGTCGCGTCAACAAGTGGTGAGTTTATCTTGTCCCAGATCCATTTAAGTGTCCAACTCTCCGGGTCATGGAATGGAGAGCAAGTTTGTGTACTCAGGTTTTGCAAGTGGGGAATATGACCCTGATTATTCTCCTGGATTCACAAGGAGAGGTTGGACTTTCGAGGATATGCAAATACTTCTTCATTTATGTGAGAGGAGTGTACTTGGTTCCCACGAAGCTCCGTCCCGATGGAAAACCGATGGGTTGGGCGTAAGGCATAGTCAGTCAAGTGTTAAAAAACTACTGATTCTTGGCAGCAGGAACATTCATGTCAGCTTTTCCTGAACATCTGATGTACTGGTTATATATATATATATATATATATACGCAGCCAACAGTCTAAAAATCCTTATCAAAGACACACATGGCTGACTGTCAGTAACGTTCAAAATCAAAGAGCTGTTTGATCTGTCAACAGTGAATAAGTCCTACCGACCTACACATGTCGGGGGAACAGTGAATTAGGAACAGGGAACATGTCTGGACGTCTGCGACTAAAACAACTGGATTAAGATTGCTCAATATTGCTCTTTGAAAATAATGCATTCACCTCTTCCCCAGTCGATGAGAAACAAATGACGGTTGTCGAGATAGTCCGATCAATACAAGATTCAGTGGCTAGAGATGACCTGCGCAAGGTGAGGACCATTTACGAGGTTTGCAGCGTGACTGATGGATTGAAAAGAGCTGAGAGTTTCAAGCTCATTCAGGCGAATGGTGTTGTACGAAATACTTTGGAGAACACAGTGACATCTATCGACAAAAATACAATGTCTCGAGTACGTTCACAAAAATGGGACCGCCTCTGCTCTTGGTTGGCCTGATAACATAAGCACTGCCTGGAAACACATCTGTGAACAGTACCTACCAACATATAAGACGTAGTTTTGGGTTGCCTAGCATAGATTCTTCGAACCCACGCACCATCGAAGCTTGAACTTGCAAGGCTTAACTGAACCTCAAAGTGAAAAAAATATAGTCAGATCACTTGCGGAATCATTCATATTGGGTGGAACAATATTAAGAAGCAAAGTCATTTGTCTAAATTGCAGAAATGGGAGATGTCCACAACATTCTATGAAGGCCATAATCGTACCGGTGTTCAAAAGCAAGGAACGACCACAGATGAATCCGTCTTTTCTGAACTGCAGGCATGCATCCTACTCAGTTAACTGAAGCTAGTATTCTGGAAGCTAGTGATGCTGAGGAATATGTATTTGAAGCAAAATGAATGCACTTTTGCAAACATAGAAGGCGAACTGCACCAACCAGCTATAGATGTCTCTTCAGGAGCAAACAGATCAATCCAAATAACTTGAATTATATCTACAACAAAGTACATCCCTTATTCAAATCAATAACCCTTTTACACTGAAACTTCCTGCTATCTTGGTAGCACCCACAGATATAACAGTCCGCGCCAAGCTATACGATTGAGCTGCTAGGGAAAGCGGTGCACTCGGAACGAACACAGCCTGTGCGTGAACTCTGAGGCTCCAGAGTGAGGATTGAAGTCATACTGACTTCACTATGCGTAGCAGCTAAACATGAAAGGAACATTAGGTTTGAAACTTTCACTTAATACCTCCGCATAATATTACGAATTCCACCACCAAATCTGTTGTTGAAAGCCGAAATTCTCAGCCGAGCTGTCTGATGGGTTGGAGTGTGCCTTGGTGCAACAGCCACGTGACGAGTTTGGTCACTAACCTAATTCAGAAGCCAGAGGAGCCGATTATGGTTGCAGCTGAAACGCGAGATTAGCCGAAATTTCCTTACTGTGAAAACTTTCAGGTTAGCTTGAAATACAGTAATGTTCGTTTCACATTACGGAAACGCCTGCGGAGTATGGAAAAGTGTCGTTCACACAATCTTGAAGAGTTTTGGATCATGGCGCATCCCAGTGCTTGAATTCAAGCGCATGATTAAAAACGACGGTAGAATGATGAATGCAGCCACAGCCGTCTGAAACTGTACAACTTGCGAGCACTCATGTCTGAACAGAATGACACTCTCCAGTAACCTCCCAAGCTACCCGAAACCGCCAAGGCCGCACCAGAACCCATCAAAGATAAGTCACCTATAAGTTCCCAATGACACCTATTCAACTCTGCTCTCATATCACGAGATGATGATGCTTCTAGCAACACGCCTGTTGTTTTACTGTCTGGGTATCCATCCCCACCTAAAAGGGACATGGATAAACGATTGTCATTATAATTTGTCTAGGGAAGGGGTTTCACTGTAACGAAACTTTGGGCCAGTAAGTTTATCTGAAAGAACTAAGGCTGGTGTTCATCGTCTTGGTATCATGCTTAGGCCAGGGTGTTGGCTGTCAACAACCTTGTGCATGTCTCTTCCAAGCCAACCAGTTGCGGTTTACCTATTGTGAGCGGCTTTCCAGTGTGTCGAGTGCTGATGAACGGTAGATCCATTTTGGATGTCGGCGACCCATGCATGAGCGCTCAGCCTCTAGTCAAACAAGGCTGGACCAGTTGATAGCTTTGAGCGACTGCACAACCACAGGTATTTTCCACGAATCCAAATGTCACGTGGAATGCATGTTGTTGAAATAGACTAGAGGATAATAACCGTATGGGTGCTGGTGGCCTGTTATAAACCAATTATCATCCTAAACGTTGCAGCACATCAATAGGTCTCTCCAACAACCATTAGTTTGTTGTTAAGTTAAGACAGTATTCATTTGCCGTTTTAGGCGCTAGGCTAACTACGCACATTTTGGATTATTCTGGACGTGCAAATAGTAGCCAGCCAAACAAGAGGTAATATGCAACCTAAAGTCACATTATCAACCAATTGGACGATAATAATTTGAGGAATGGTGAGGCATTGCTAAGGACTCTGAGACGTGGCCTGTCTAGGAACTCATCCCACTACATTACATATGGCCATTATTCTGGGATATTCGCCTAATAACAGGCTCTCCAGTTATCTGAAATGAGATTTCCAGCTTTTCCAATTCACTTAGAGGCAACCTTATTGGTGGAAATTAAGTCATCCTCAAATTCGAACTCACATTTTCGACTGGCCGTAGAAAAGTTGCTTTGAGAAGAGAGTTTCGGCCATTCGCTTCCAGTCGCTCTACCAGCAGAGCTGGCCCCTCTTCTAACCACATCCGGCTCCAGCGGAACTCTGATGTCCAGGACTTTGTTTATCCAACTGATTCGAAGGATTTTGCACAACGCATGAAAGCGAAATCGGTGAAGAAATCGAGTGTCGCGTTAATAACGTTAAGGTATGTGGTCGCACAACTAAGCATGGTGTCCGAAAACAGTTGATAATCGCTCCAAATGCTTTTCACACAACGTCCAAATGCACTGCTTAAGTTCGCGTTTTTCCGATGGTAAGTGTCGGATCGGCATACAGTGTGTTCACGAGATGGCGGAAATCCATGTGGCATAGCAAGGCGCAACAACTCAGCTGATTGTATGGTGGCTGCGTTGAGCTTCCAGTACAGCCTGAAAAAAGAAAAGCACTTATATTTAAGCCTATGAACACAACGGAGCTGAATTCGATGCCGTAACTGGACCTTGTATTTCCGTTCGGGAAACCAATAGAAGGCCTAAATTTGGTTTGAGCACTTCGAATTCACACATAGTTGTTTGAGCCAGCAAACGCTTCGAAAGGATTACCAAGCCACCTGGTCTATCACATTCGAAATACGAAACTTGTCTGCGCAGGTGGTTATCAAATTAGAGGCTGGACAATATTTAGGTGAGCAAAAAAAACCAACTTTACCGTTGCCTCGACTGTGAAGTCAACTTAGAATGCTACACTGGACCGCAACAGGGCTTTTATCCATACGCGAGTAGCCTTGATAAAGTTGACTTATGTATATGGATAGCCAAGCTTTCCTAGAACTGAGTGGGAAGCTTCGACGAAGTCCACAAACATTCCGGGCAGCTGACTTCGCTCACCTCATGGATCTACATTGCAGTGAGTTAATTCGAGTGCCATTTCACTGCTGTGAAATTTATACTCGCCCTGAGGAAAGTCTTCCTGTATGATCTCAACAACTAGTAGGTTAAGCAGGTTTCGAGCCGTAAATTTCGGCTGTCATGCCAAAACAGCTGATTCCTTGGTTGTTGTCTCATTTTCTTGACTTCCATAAGGAAGTTTCTTTAAATCTTTCAAATCTTCCGGGAGGCACTTTGTACCTCCCAAATAATGCACGTCAGATGGGTCATTCTGTTCCTGTCAGTTTTGTGCCGTCTTCGGTCCAGCCGATTAAGGTAGATCGGCCGAATCGGTCTTCATCGCATGTTGGGAAGATGTCAAAGATGCAGCTCCCATCCGAATCTTATGGCTGGCCGAGTAATGCTATAAACATATGTTTCATAGGTGCCAGAATTCTGCGGTACTGGTTAAGCTTTATGCGGTTTTGTTCTTTCATCTCTGCTGAGGGTGGTTAAATTTTGGTTCAAAGATTGCTTCCAGTGTTGTAAAAATCCTTCGTGATAACGACGATGTGCATGCGATCTATTGTGGGTACCCTGTCCTAAGCGTTGGACATCAAGACCTGGACCACAAAACGTTGAGTAGCGTACCTAGCTCAAAGGTGCTGTGATTCACTAGTGTAAGTCTGACTGCTTATGTAATGTTGCGCAACACGTTCCTTTTGAAACAGCACCGGACTTGTGATTTTTAAAGTATTTGGATCGTTCTGGCTTTTCGGAAGAGGTAACCCGCCCACGATAGATGAAACGATCACATTCCACAGGTTTGCTGGCTTAGCCACTTGCTCCGTATACCAGTTGACTGGCTTTCCTAGAGGGCTTTTTTCGCGCAACCACGCAGATGTTCGAAACGAGTTCGGGGAGGTCAAGCAGTGCATTGGCAGCGAGGTATGGAAATTATAACCAATGAACTAAGCTGGATGCAAATCCCCAGATGGGGCATTATCAGATATGGCACAGTCGCACCCTCATTGGCGCGCGTGCATCCAAGCTATTGCCCTAAATGCATGACTCCCCTCCCATTCTCTCCCAATAAAAGTCAACTGAGAACCATGTATCTACGTATCTATTTTATCAGTTACTGCCTCCAGTGCGCAGCTATCTAACCGGCCTCTCTAAACCATCGGCAAACGAAACTGTGGCCCCTAGAACCACTGCACGGCAAGTACGCGGTTCTTGTAGCTGATGATCTGTAAATGATCCGTAAGTTGGCCAAACACTGGGTGGAGAAGGTGCGCGCTTATTCCTGTCAACATCTTCAAATATGTCCTTCCTAGAGAGCAGACTGTCTCTCCGTCAATAAATGTGCAAATGACTGCAGAAACACAAAACCTTTCCTGCCTTGTTTGAACCGATAACGGAAAGGATACACCCCCAAATCTCAGATTACAATTTTTGTGAGATGTCGACCAGCTATTCTTCATCGGGGTATTTCTCTTATGAGAGATGCTCAGGTAACTGAATTCCTGCCACTGTCGCACACAGAATAATTGCATCCCGGTAGCCATAGTTAAATCAGGGCACATCACAGGAACAAAAGGATTAGCACGGCAATCATAGGTCGGCTGAACAAAAGCCAGGTCAGCACAGCTTACTTCGTTTTATCTCAGCCTGACTAGGAGCAGTTCCGGCCTAATCAGCACCTGAGTGGAACCTAGTCTCCCTTTTCAGTCACTTTACAATAAATTTCAGTTTTTTAACTTGAGTGTTTCTGCCAACAGCTTATTTTTACTTTTCAATTCCACCGGAGCCAGACAGACTAAGGTGAGATCCGTCCGTTATCGGGCGCGCCCTTCTCAGACGACCGATGAATGAATGTTTCTTTTGTTAGTGTAAAAAGCTCAGGGAGGTTTATTTCATCTTTACAGAAACATGTTGAGTTCTTTTGTGATACCAATATAATGTAGACTGGCAAGTGTAATAGGACCCCTCTGGCTTGAAATTTGTCTGTGAGGTTATTTGCCTTTATAACTGTGGGACGGACAACAACGTTCCAGGAGGAAAGGCAGGTAGGCCAGATTGGTTCACGCGTGAATGTTGCGCATTAGAAAAAGCAGTTAAGGACTCCAAATTTCTAGCGCAGAAGTGTGCAGGAGTTTGGCATCTAGTCCGCACTCGGAAGCAAGATATTTTCCCTCCTGCATAAGGACTTTTAGAGCAACGCAAGCAAGAAAAGTGAACTGTGGATAAAAGGTTACATTTATTCCTGGCCGCGGCCAGAGATGGTTTCTATGCACTGATAACTTCAAGTTCACCTTCCAATTGAGTACTTCGAACGCATGTCACCAGATGTGTGAATGCGGCCAGACGTCTTTGAATCTAAGTGCCTGCAATGGCGGAAGGAGGATATGATGGAGACAAGGGGATCGCGCGTCAATAAACCATAATCATTTCTCACGTTTTCTGTAGGCAGACAAGTTTTTGACATGTTGATCTGATTACAAAGCAGGTGATAGAATTAGGACTGATATATTCTACATGTTACATCAATTGTTCGTAACAAACTTGTCAGACTATGAATGACCTTAATGTATATAAGTTATTTTGAATGATGATGCAAGAATCCGTGTGTTTCATTGCACTGTCTATCCACTTTGAAAAAAAAGGATCGAAACAGCTAGTTTATGCCACTTTTCAGTTGAATATACTGCAAAAACATTGTTCCACGTTCCAGTTGGCACAATATTATTGACACAACTTACGAATTATAAGACTTCTGGTAATTCCGTGGAAACACACGACCGGTTTCTTCCTTCTTGGGCGCAGTCCCCAAGCTTCCATCCAAATTATGTCCTACATAAATATAAGATTATGCGGAATGGGTTAAATAAAATCCCAAATTAATCTGATGGTTACTGGAAGTTCGACCGAAACAAAAAAGTGATAAATGGGAGGTAATGTTGAGCCCCCTTAACTTTTCTACATAAATTGACGGAAACAAGGGGGCTGGGCCTATCCGATGATCCGAATCGAACTGGTTGTGGGCTGTTGAACAGTTTGAAGCAGCCTTACACCTAATGAGTTTTCATGAAACTTGATAGATCTTTCTTCTATTTTGTGAAATAGCAGCCATTAACATAACTCGATATTCCGGGACCACTAGATGGCGAAAACTTTTGTAAAATTGAAGCATTTGTTTGCGTGATAGTCTGCGTTCCTAGCGGTAGAAAGTAGAGAAATCAACGATAGTTTAGCAGTTTAGTAGAAACAGCTTAAAGCTCCTCAATCTAAGAAATAAAAATGTGTGTGGATCCGATATTACGCGGAGGATTACCTCAGCTCTATTCAGTCGTTGCCGTTTGTTGGCGGCAGTGTAGCTTCGCTTGGTTTCCTTGAAGCAATCCTAAATCAACTTAAAAACCATTAAAATTGCTTTGACTTGGAGAAATAGCGTCAAGTCAGAAACTATCAAGGGGCTCACAAGCCAGGTGTCCAGCCATCCTTCTTGTCATCTGTTCAAAATCGATTTGTAGGAGGAACATCCTTATGACAAGAGACGTGTTACTCTAATTTTGTTTGTGCAGAAGACCAGATGAATTTTAGTTTTAGAAAGATCTGCCATAACCATACATGAAGCAGTTTGAGAGGATAGAAATTCCTATTTACATTTTTGTCACTGTTACGGCTATTGATTTAGTCAGCTGAAGCCCTTATTTATCCGTTCCACGTAACACTGTACCCGAAGCTTTGCATATACTTCGTCATACGGTTAGAGTTTCCTAACACATACTGTGTTCAGATCAATCGTCACGCGATCGATAGATCCGGGGGGATTCATTGGCACAGTGCCGTGAAACACACAAACGAACGGCTTCCCAACTGTCTGTCCGTTACGGGTGTGTAGGCTAGACAACACGGCAAATTACCGCATGAACTGCTGGGTGCTAGAGATGCCCATGTGTGTCTTTGAATGATTATCCGGCTTCGCTGCTATGCAACCTAGTGATCGCATATTGCATGCTGGACCATACGCTTGCGTTTGTGCATGCATAAGACTGTTTGTGTCCACGCTCGTCAAGTAGTTTTATTGTGAAGGCGAATTTCTCTGAGAGACCCCCCACCTAAACAATTTTAGCGGTAGGCCAATTTTTGTCAACCAACACATCGGTCTTGGCACCGAATCATACGTAGAGTGTATACGGATGATCTACATTGGTTGGAGAGAAACGGGAAAGTGCGAGTCTCGAAGTGGGGGGAAATTAGGGCAGTTGACCTTCTCGCTGGTTGGTTAGCTCGTTAGTCAGTAAGCCAGTGGGCGAATTCGGCAATGGAATCCGTGTCCATATGTGTCTGGGGCGTGCGAGGGTGCGACTAAACCCAAAACAAGTGGGTCACAATAATTTACGTTGCTCCCTGTTTGTGTGTTTGTGCGATTTTGTTACTACAGCCCTGTCGTCTCGATTTACTGTCATGTGGCAGCCGTCATGAGTCGGTTTGATCGACCAAAATTTCTAGTTTCATGCCTGCGTGACTGGTTGCATAGGACCTGAAAATACACGGACGTGCTTTCTACTCAACCAGAATAATTCAATCTGCTTCCAGGACAAATGGATCATTGTCTAAAAGAAAAATTATCCGCTAGCCAGTAAAAAAAACGACAAAAGTAAGTGCTGAATTTTGTCAACACCTTTTACAATTTGCGGTGGTTTTACAGGGAAACCCATCAGAAATCATGTCGAAGTAAAATGTTTAAGTGTACCGTCTCCTTTGTTACCTACATTGTGAAAGCTTTTTGGCAAATGAATAGAGGTTACCGACAATAGTTTCTAGCAGCCTAATGATGTAGGGGTGGGGGTAAACCAACTACCTGCTTCCGGAAACCCGCGGAAAACTTGTATATTGTTCCTAATGACTTTCACGTGAATTTTAAGTTAATTGTTGTATGTATGTATGTTCAAAGTTTTAGGGGAGGAGAGAAACAAAAAATGAACTAAGAAATTAGTTAGTTCTTTCGAAATTCAGTAAGTGATGAGTAGTATTTTTATTTGAGGAGAATGCTGCAGCCTTCTGGGATCTCGTGGCTTATCGGGCAACGATATTTGTCTTTACCTTGAAGTACCTGTTTTTCCTAAAAAGATACATATGGATGACGGTGCACTTTTTTTCATCGGTGAGCTCTGTATTTTCTTAACCACCCCAATGTGGAGCATGGGGAACACTTTCGATATCACCCATCTTCAGAAGTTGGGAACTTAACAGGTGGTCGACAGTGTGTCGAACTTTTGGTAGCCCGGGTATGTTTACTGGTGGCTAGCCAGATGGACCTTGATCTGCTCATCAGACTGCTGCAAGAAGTTTTGTCCCCAGCCGACTGATATAGTGAGTTCGTAGTTGAGTGGGACGCATTCAAACATTTCGAGCCAAGAGAGATTTTATTTCTAGATGACTGTTCGGAAACAGTTGTATATATCCGCCATGTGGATCGAATGATCGTCCACACCCATGTTATGATGTGAATTCATGTCATAGATAGGAGTAGTCCCCGAAGCTTATCTAACAGTAACTGACATCACCCGGAAACAATTCGGGTAGTGTCGTCCACCTACTGTGGCATTCTTGAGCCACTAATCACTGACAACAGAAACGGGCCATCAGTGGGTAACCTGATATGCATAATGCAACAAAGGACAAGCTCCCTTAAGAGGAAACTGACCTGGGGAGCTTTCGCCAAGAATAGTCTGGTGCTAATCTAGTGAATAGGCTTTCCCGATCCATTCTAGATAAGTCAGGTCAGTACGATAATTAATTTGCGCTACTTTTAGATTTGACTGACTTACTTTTTCTTTAAAACCAAATTTAAATAAAATGAAACACTGTTGACATTTCACGTTTGTTGCGCGTCTGAGGACTGCTTGACCAAGGAAGACAGAAATAGAGAAAGATAAAACTAAGCAACGTAGGAGAGCATCGACCAACGTACAACGGTCTACGACTAGGTATGCTCAGACGTTACTCTCAAGGTCCAGATGAACTAAAAAAATCGGCAAAGGTTTGATTTGAGAGTTTATCTATCTTTTACTTTCTCGGTTAGATGGTTCCCCAATTCTTCCTTAAGGTATCGGTTACTGAACTTGGGATGGGGTCCCATAGATCCAGAAACAGTGGTGACAATGTTTAGAAAAATCCACACCAGAATCGGAAACCATTTTTTTAAAGCTCTCCTGGAGAAAGATGAATTCACCACGAATCGGTTAGGTCTGAACGTTGACACTACTATCAGAGACTGCGTTTAGTCCCGCGTTTCGCTGCCCTACAAACCCAAGACCTACCTGTGAAGTCAAGAGTGGCAAGAGAGCAAGGAGACTGCGTTTAGTCCCGCGTTTCGCTGCCCTGCAAACCCAAGACCTACCTGTGAAGCCAAGAGTGGCAGAGAGAGCAAGGGGGACGTACTGAGAATTACCTAGCCTAATGATATACATTTGTACTTAAGACGCCTATTATTTACCGTCCCCAGCCAAGCACACAGAAGATCATGCGGAATCAAGCTCGAAAAGCTTGCCGCCCCGAAAGTATCCGATATGGCTTGCCCACCATCGCTTTCATTATTTTGATTAGGTGAGAAAAACAAAACTCCTTTTGGTAGATGATAACTCGACGTGCGCGTTACTTGGTTAGGTCACTGTAACTTCTGAAGCTAGAAGCATTCTTCGCTTCATGTTCCTGTTACACAAACAGCAAATTGGTTCTCAATTGTCTAGTTCAGGATTTGCGTTCGTCGACCCATGCCAGCTATAATTTTGGCAAGACGGTTATTAAGGACCTGAAGGCACCTCGGCTGGGTTACTTGCAAGGACGACTCGAAAACAAAACAATACGTACTGATAAAGGCAACTGATGAATTTTAGCTAGATAGACAGCTGCAGTATGCGGGCAGCAGGCTACATAGAATGGCAGAATCGAAACAAGGCACTTATTTTGAACGAAGATGGATGGGACGAACTGAAACACAATTGACTTAGGCCATTACATCCCACTACAAGGTCCCACATCAAGCATTCCAGCCGTCCAACGCGCGACGCTGACTTGATCACCTGTTTAAAAGTACAGAAACCCAACGCATGGCTCAAGTTAACTGGAAGACCCTACAGTTTCGTTTGAGAAGCAAACTAGTGGTGTAATGGTTCACGAACAGCATACAGAGCCACCATCACTTTTTACCCAGCCAACCATCCATACGACTTTAGTTCGTCAGTGAAAGTACTTCAGCGATGTAGAACCCTTTATCTATATAGAAATCAGTCTCGTGCTGTTGATGGCGGGGAAAGCAGTGGCCCGATCTTAACGACAGCATTTACATAGTTGACAGACTTAATATCGGAAATGTGGACACTGGTAGCGATTAATGTGTCATGAATGTTTTCGGCTTTGTTAGTTTGGGTTATAAAATGAGTATAGCGTAAGGTCCATATGGTTTGAGTATAGAAGACAGTCGAGCTTCGAAAGTATGAATGAGAAACGGTTGTACTGGTAGCGCAAAGTTTCTCGTGTCTGTAATCCTTGAATATATTGACTACAAACGAATGTGATACTGCATGGTTGTGTTTAAACGAGACTTCAGACATGTGCTCGTGAACTTTTCAACTCACAAGTTTCATGTGCGAGTTACACAAAGTGGAGAAACGGTACTAATTTCATATTACTGACCCTTCAAATTCGTTGTATCGCGGTTTATGTTGGTGAACTTCATTCACCCAATGAAAAAGAAAACAGTGTTTTTCTTTGAGGAATTTCAGGAATCGTACAAGTATTTATAAAGCCACCTTATTTGTTTTATTTCAATTGCCCTTCATTCGCTTGTCTTAACATTTGAGAGGCTTCGTTATCCTTCTGTTAGATCTTGTTTATCACACTGGTAAGGAATTCCTCTATCTTCCCCAAGCTTGTTAGTCTGTTCTTGAAAGCGTTCCTTTCCTGCTGGGTGAGAATAGATGACTGTCTAGATCTCCTCAGTACGCGAGCGGTTTCGCCCAGAAATTTGCCAATTCAAACTGTGCCAGATCAGATCAGTATTCACCAGCAAAATATCTAGCTGACGCCTCATACAGTCTAGCGGAAACAACAGTTCACAAGCACTAAGAAGACACTTAAAGTACCCACCTAATACAGTAGTTACTATATGTCTACCCAGAAAAGTTCCGTCAAAAGTTTGGACCAGCTGATCCGAGCTCGACATTCCCAGGGGTGCAAGTGGTTCCATGCTTCCCAATAAACATATCTTGTGCTAAATTTTTTCTCCACCTTGGTAATTCTTCGTCTACTCCTGTGGCAAGGTTCAGGTGCCTCGTGCGGTTTCAGTCAAGGTGGTAGGTATAAATAGTGGGTAATGGTCAAAAGCGATCGAATAAGCAAGAGAGTCCGTATACTCATTCCTATCTGTGGGAACAAAGTTCACGGCACAGTCTCTTAAGGCCAAATATCGCTTTGAAAGTATACCGTAAAGGGAAAGTTGCAAGTGCAAAGTGTTTTGTATGAAACTTTGACTCAACGAACGGGTATAGCTTGACTTTTGACAAAAAAATAATAGGCGAACCTACAGGGCACTTTTGGCCGAAAACATGGAAAGTCGCAGGACCAGCGACTGACTGAAAAAGTGCAATAAAACAGTCCAAAATTAGGTCCACAAAGAAAACTTCAGCGGCGCAATTACTACAAACTTTAGAAAATGTATCACACGCGGGATTTTTTCGTTCCTTAGCAGGTTACCGATGAAGGCATGCGTCAAAAGGGCTTAGTGATATGCGTTGATTTTACTGCTGGTGTGAACCGCATTTAGCCTTGTAGTCTCATCGCATCGGCCATGGAGCTGTAAAGATGAGCCAAAATTTCGCTTCAGGGTTCCATCCACCGGGCTTATTACCTGACAGTTATTAGAGAGATTCATGTTCATGGCAAGTGTAGCGTTGATACAGGTTCCGTCAAAACAACCGACGCTTTTTTTGCGTGCAGTGTAACGAGTATTTTTGACCTCAGGGGTAACATCGGATCCCATTGTACGGGATACTGTCAGAGTGCTCGTTTTCCTTGTGAAATTTTCAGTCTTAAGTTTCCGAAAAAAATGAACGTCGTCGGTTATTTGCGGAATAGAGCAGGTGGTTAAATGGAAATCCTTTCGGCGCCTTTCCGACAAAAGTTTTATTGTTGTGTTGTATCTTCTCAATTAGTTGAAACAAGTGATTTTGTCAGCAAGAAATTTCCCAGCACAGAAGAGGACCGATTGTGAACGATCGCGTACTACACACTGCTTCGTGAGGATTTCGTCCCTGGATGGCAGCCAAGCTTTACGCACTTACACCGAAAGTTTTTTACCATCGAACGTGGTGCTACTGAGCACCGTATGTGATGCGCTTGATCTAGAAGACAAGGCCATTGGACGGAGGGCAGAAAAACCAGAAAAGTCTCCCGCAACTACCCACATGTGACCTTCCAAGTGGTTGCTAGGATTTTAAATCGTGTGGATCCCATATAATGCTACTGAAGTGATTTGTTCAATGTCGCATGATGGGAACGTGTGAGGCACATTTTTCCGCACACATGTTGAACCCTACCAGAACTCTCTTCGTCTAAGATTTTCAACAAATCGCAACCACGCTTATGATGTATATA